AACCGCCGAAGATGCACAAGGATCCGCTGAATGGCTTGAACTGGATGATGAAGCTGAGAAACAGAGGGAGAGAGAAAGAGAAAGGCAGAGATGCCTCGCTATGCTTTGAAGAAGAAACCAAAGAGTTTCGGCCTCCTCGTCTTCGTTCTTCTTTCCCTTGCTGATCTCGACCACAGCCTCCGCCTCCCCCAGCCTTTTCCTCTTTGTTGCTGATCACAGCCCTGTAGCAACGATGTCGTTCAACCATCCCTACAGCTTTGACTTTCTCCTGACATCCCCTATGCTCCCCGGCATGCCGCTCACTCTCGATAATACGCCACCCTACACTCCCCGTTCAAAATCGCTCGACCTCCTCCGTGCGGATGCGGCGACACCCATCAACGCCCGCAACTCGCTCGACACCATCTCGACGCTAAGAGGCCATCGCATCTCGTCCCCCATTTTTCTCAACAGCAGCGTCGGGGTCAAGCCGCTCCCCGAAGAACCCTCCCCCGGCGAAAATGACGATGCCGACGAGATATGCAGTGAGACGTTCAACACTACCCGGTCTCCGTCCAACTCCGCCGACCAAGACCACGATGCCAGAGAAACCAAGCTTCGAGCGTCCACCATGCCGCGCTACCTAGCCTGTGATATCGGCTTTCAGCCAAAAACCCCATCCCGACGCCAAAAGTCAGACCATCTACTGAGGAGCAAGTTCAGCATGTCACCCGTGCAAGTCTCGAAACGAAGCAAGGCGCGTACATCGCAAGACCAGACCAGGCTGCCAGAAGTAGTAGTGAGTCAAGACACTTGCCGCTCAACACTGGGCCACTGGTCGTACAGCCTTGGTGTGGCGGCGCGCAAATTGCAGAAGAGCACCCTGCCGAGGAAACCTTCGGATGAGAGCTACAAGTCGTCTACGACGCTCGATGTGCCCCAGCTGGAGGTCAAAGAAAGGTTGGCCACTCCCGAGAAGGCTAAGCATCCGTTGAGGAGCGCTACCAGCTTAGCGAGCATCCGGAGATTCATGTGAGTGCCACCCCGCATCTTCCTCCTTTGTCGATACGCATGAGATGAGCAGAAGATGGATCTGACATCGGTACACGTTTGCGCTTTTGGGCTTTGGGTTGGTAGCACGCCCTCACGCCGTGTTCGAAAGGTCTCTACCACTACTCGAGGTCTGACAGGTGGAAGAAGTAGGCCGATGCTCACGGTGGACGATGTGATTGGCGAGCAAGGAACGAACAGCAGCGAGGATACGGGTGGCTGGGTCGATGCTGATGGACGAGCCAGTCGAGACGGTCTCACGCAGCACAAGGTTGATCCCAAGGAGAGAGGTGGAACTCCATTGAGGTTGTCCTACCTCATGGTCCCCACGGTGAACGCTCGGTGTACCAGGAGGGCGCTAGACAGACCGGAGAGCAACAGAGTTGCTGCACGTCCCCGCGCTCCGCTCTCGCCAGAGTTTTACGAGCCGCCTCCTCAGATTCAGCCTCAACAATCGGACCCGCAACACGATGTCGCTGAGTCTGTGGATGATGCTCGTAATCACGATGTTGATCACGCCCCGACGCTGTCAACGCTCTCGAACGCCGAGCCAGTTCGACAGCAGGAACAACCAGAAGCTGTTTCCACAGCAGATGAGCAACCGCCCGCACCTTCAGCGCCCACATCAAAGTTGAGAACACTTCAACTGCTCGCCCGCCGCCCCTTCAATGCGTTTGGCAAGAAGATGCGAGAAACCCAAAAGTCTTGGTTTCCATCTCGCACCTCGCAAGACCTCCCAACTCCATCCCTCATTCCAGCACAGCCAAACTGTGCTCATCTTGCCAAGAAGGAAGCTCCAGCAACGCGACGTAGCGAAGATCTGCTTTCCAAAGCCTCTCCTCGTATCTGCGACACCTCGACAATGGCGCAAAAGAGCAGGAGTGTTGAGCTGGACCGCATCCAGCTCCCCTCCAAAGTTGTACCGCTGAGACCGACCGGTGGGGTCGTGTACAAGCGAAGACCAACGATCCCGGATGCGTTCGCTAAACCTGTCCCTCCGCCACCACCGCCTCCGCCGCCAACGAGAGCTGACGTGAAGCCGCAGACGCAGAGCAGTACCCAGCCAAGAATTTCCGACCTCCGCCATCCATGGATGAAGCAGCTCCAGCTTGCCAACGCTTCTTCGAGCCCGATTGATAACGGTATGGGTGAGCTGGGAGCGCGACAGATATGGCCAAAGATGGAAGTCAGTCCACCACCTTCAGCTGGAATCATCCCGACCGTGTCTCTGACCGCAGCCAGTCTCACCTTGACCCAGACTGAATCCCTGGTCGCCGTACCCAAGAAGGAGTCCCCCCGACGACCACCGGCATCGCTCCTCGGCCAATCGCTGCCTATCCCGCCTCGATGCGGTCGCAGCCGTGCGAGCACTATTTCATCCCAGAGCTCCACCACATCCTCGCCCTCGGGCAAAGTTATCGTCTCACGCCGTTCGTACGGCCAACGACTTCGCTCTCCTAGCACGCGCGAAGAAACGGGAAGCATTCGATCCGTAGGTACCAGCATTTTGTTCACTGAATCGCCTCCTGGCTCGCCAGGGATGCGCAAGTTTATGTCTCCCTACTATGCCACTCGCTCCCCCAGTGCTGTTCGCATCCGCAGTCCACCCACTACCGTTCTACTACCCAAGTATTCGCCTCGTCGGAGTGGGAAAGTGCACACGCTGCACCGCAAGCCAAGTTCGGCATTCACCGACGAATCGGAAACTGAATGGATGGACGAAGGTCCCACAACCAATGACAATGGCTCGACTGCAGCCCTGACCGAGCTCGTTGCACTTCGAAGCCGACTCGAAGACGTCCTACCTCCCATCCGACCAGGATTCCTCGAGATGAACGAGGCCACTCACACGCTCTCAAACCTCGTCAAGACATTCAGCGGCTCTTCTGGTAGCCTCAGCCTTCATTCTTCACCATACAAAAGGGACACACCCACACAAGCTGCTACACCAGGTCGAGGTCTGTTCGGCATCATGGAGGCCGACGAAGCAACTCTCTCCTACACCTTGTCTCGGTCTCCGCCTACGCACTTGAGTTCGACCCGCACGCGCGAGAGGCTCATCTCCAAAGTCAGCATCGTCTCGACAGAAGGGAATTCATCCTTTGAAGACAGCGAAGAGCTTCAAAAGCTTCTGGACAGCATAATGGCTGCTGACTTGGGTGGAAGCTGTGACACTTCCGGATCGCGAGACATGGCCCTTTTGTCTCCATTTGGCTCCCCCGCAGAGTTTAGAGATTCACGCACTTCGGACAAGAGGCTGTCGGTGGAGGTAAAGGAGAATGTGGCGCCGGTGCAAAAGCAGCTTCCTCCCCCGCCTAAATTCTTGTTGAATGACAGGCCGATCTCGCCACCGGACTCGAGCTGTATGAGTCACACGACGCATTCCGAGCACTGCTTTGGGGCGGAGGATGCGGACACAACTGTGACGCATACCAATTGGGAGGCGACTACTGCTGCCACAATCGGCCGTGCAAGCTCGGCAATGGGGACCCCGGCGGCGGCGGCGGCGGCGGCGTGTGCCAAGGGAAGTACGAACAGCTGGAGAAAGACGGTCAGTGGCGGTGGAGTTTATGACGATTCGGGTTATGCTTCGTTTTCCATTTTAGATAGCTATCAGGGTCGGAGGTAATGATACTCGATAGGTGTACATGTGTTGCTCTTTTGGTGCGTGAAGTGAGGTTGGTCTGGTAAGACTCGTATTTGTGCTTAGGGAGGTTGTAGTTTGGAGATGCTGTTGGGGCAGTTGGACCTTCTTGGCATTATGCTGCCTGAAATGTCTGCTGAATCTGGTGCTGCGGTCTCTTTGGTCAACCTGTTCCAGGCGAGATTTTGGAATGATGGCAGCAAATTTATCACCGATACCAAAAGTTGACGCTTGCACTGGTGCTTAAGCTTTGGACGCAATGGTACCATCCTTGGGGTATATAGAGCACGTCTCCTGGGACGAGTTCTGTGACAAAGGCGTTCTCGGAAGTGAGAGCTTTCGAAAGAAGGGGTTTTGTCTCTGTTGGGTTGAGAAGCTCGTGTTCGGAAGCGATTGCGGAGGTGTTGCGTTGGGGGCCGGTCTGATTGATGTAAAGGTAGGGTGCGAGTTGTGGTGCGAAGAGATGGATGCGTTTGCGACCGACGACTTGGGCAAAGAGGTTTTCGTAAGGGTCACAATGCAAAGGGGTATAAGTGCCCATTGGTCCGATCCAGACGTTGCTACGCCATTGTTCTTTAGCACCTTTTGGTCCTGCGATAGTGTGTGGTAGACCCGGAGCTTCAGATGCCAGGCTAGGAGATTGGGAAAGGAGGTCGAATTGTGCCAAGTAACCAACCGGTTGCTGGTGTTGACCGTCTTGTGTCGAATGCCATGGAATCTTGCCTTGAACAAAGGCATCGAGAAATAACGCTGTAGTACACGAAGAAAACAATACAGCAAAAGCATCCTAGAAAATATATCAGTTGCACACGTCCTCCATTGCGAACAGCTGAAGATAGCGCACAAGGCAGGCAGGACGACTTACAGAATGGCAGCTCAATACGATCCCATTTTCCTCCCCCTACGTTATAGCCAACACCACGTTGAGAGACCTCTACGGGAACAATCAAATCCATGATCTCAGGTCGCTTGATCCCATCGAGCGTCTCTTGTCCGTCTGGACCCAAGGTAGACCATTTTTTCAAGGCGGGCCAGACAACCTTGTCCTGGGCTGAGTGGGTCGTTAGCAGACCTTGGAAATGACCGGGACGCCTGGGCAGCTGAAAGTCTCGGACGAAGCGAGAGGGAGAAATGCCATTACGCAGCAAAGTCAAAGGTCTGACTGACATGGCCGACTCACCAGGAGCTTGCAGATGGTGGTGGTACATCGGACAAGACCACACCAGAATGAAATGTCAAGGAGTGCTTGTCGAAGTGGAGGTTCAAGAAGTCTCCAGAGCATGCTACCATATATGGTCCCAATTCAGTGACGATCTGGGATATTGTCGGGTCTTTAGCTCAGCAGTAGAGCGGCAGACTTCGGTTTCGTTCGAAGATCCTTCTAGGTTTTCTGCAGGTCGCGGGTTCAATCCCCGTAGGACTCTTTTTTTTTCCTCTCTGGTCGATCCCCCCTTTTTTGGTTTTTTTTTCTCTCTCTCAATAGTGTCGACTAACGCCTTCCTTGACCTCTTGAGTGCTTGCTCTCTACCAGCGGGCCAACTCTGTCACGACTGAGCTTCGTCTTACGAGTTGAGTTGATTCGAAGATATCAATAATAGGTCACTGACACTGTTGATGAGTGCGAACCATATTCGTAGGCCAATTCTGTGCAAACATGAACGCGAAGAAGCAAAGAGACACGAGTAGATTCCTCGATTCAAGAAAACCCTAGTAATACAATTAAAGAAGATGAATAGTGTGGATGACAGCAAGATGCTAGATCCGGTGTGTCTGTCGCGTCCGATAAGTGAGGCGATGAGGATGAAGCGGAGCCATGTTGAGAATGCAAGCGGGCGCAGATGAAATCTATAATGCTGAAAAGATGCCAAGGAAGTTTACATCATCCAGTCCCATACGCGGTTAAGGGTCGAGCGAGTCTTCTGAGACTCCTTGATCTTCTCCTGCTCCTCGTTCTCGTCAATCTGCCTGCGGCCAGTGTCAAAGTCCATCTGGGAGAGGCTGACGAACTTGGTCTTGTGGTAAAACTTCCAGCCGAGCCAGAGGACCAGGAACAAGGGAATGCAGATGTAAGTGGTGACGAAGCTGCTGGTGCTCCACTGGCCGTTGAGGAAGACGGTGAAACCGGCGAACAAGAGAACAAGAACGAGGAAAACGATACCAAAGTAGGTAAGGTAGGGCTGGAAGGGGGCGGTGTATGGGAGGGTGTTGCGAGGAATGCCGTGGTACTTGAGGCCGTGGTAGAATCGAGCGTAGGTGCAAAGGATGATGATCCACGCAATGATAACGCTGATGGCGCTGATGGCATACAAGTAATCGAAGGCCTGCTGAGCACCTCCAGAGCCGCAAGACAAGTAGGCGAGAGGACCGAAGAGGGCAGTCACAACAAGCGACCAGACGGGCAGACCTGCCTTTGTACACTTGCGAAGGAAGCCGGGTGCCTTGTGCTCGAGAGCAAGTGCGTAGAGCGTCCTGGACGAGGCGTAGAGGTCCGAGTTGGCAGCAGACCATGTAACAACGACCAACACGGCGTTGACGATGTGTGGCAGGACGCGGATGCCGGCGTTGGAGATGGCAAGGACGAAGGGGGAGGCGCTGGCATCGCTGCTTCCGTTGAGGAGGCGAGGGTCATTGTAGGGGACGACGAGGCCGACCATAAAGATGGCCAAGACGTAGAAGAGAAGGATACGCCAGAAGACGCGCTTGATGGCCTTGGGGACGTTCTTGCGAGGGTTTTCGACCTCACCGACGGCGACACCGATGATTTCGGTACCGGCAAAGGAGAAGGCAGACTGCACAAAGACGTTCCAGAAGGCGAGGAAGCGGCCGAAAGAGCCGCTGATTCCGCCGGTAGGTGCGCCAGTGACGGGGTCGGGAGTCCAGAAAAGTTGAGCCATCGGGCCGGGGTCCTTCCAGAAGCGGAAGCCGATGCGGTCACCACGAGGGCCACCACCGAGGTCGATGACGAGCGAGGTGATGATAAGAACAATGATGGCAACTACCTTGATGAGGCAGAACCAGAACTCGGTCTCTCCATAGTACTTGACGCCGAGAGCGTTAACACCAATGACGAGAACTAGGAGGATCGAGATCCAGACGGCGGGGTTGATAGACTTGTCGGTATCCCAGTACTGAATGACGATAGCAGAGGCCGAGATCTCGGTGGGGATGGTGATACCGTAGGAATACCAGTAGGTCCAACCAAGGGCGAAACCGAGACTTGGGTCGAGGAAGCGAGTGGCGTGGTGAGTGAAACCACCGGGAACGGCGAGCAGCGTGCTGACCTCACCAAGGGCGACCATCATCGAGTAGACGACCACACCCATGATCATGTAGGCAATGAGGGTGCTGACGGGACCGGCGTTGGCCAGCGAGCCGCCGAGACCGACGAAGAGACCTGTGCCAATGGTACCTCCGAGAGCAATCATGGAGAGATGCCTCTGCTTGAGGTTACGCTGTACGTGACCATCGGCAGAGTGCTCGTCCATGCCGAGGCGCTTGAGGGCAGCGGAATCATCCTGGATGGTGGAACCCTTTTCGATGTTGTCGGACGAGGGGTAAGAGCTCTTCTCCACATCGGAAGAGAGAATGGCCGGAGCAATGCCGTGGTTGGAGGCCATGTCGGTATGCAAGAGTCGACTCAGCGGGGTGGCCGGATGGACGAGTGCTGAACGAGTGTGGAGATACGGGTGGTGGAAGGTGGATGTAGAGGGAGGGAAAGAAGAGGAAGAGGGAGGAAGGGATATATGACAAGTTCGGTGAAAAGCCGAGCGGACCAATGGATGGCGAGGAGAAAAGTTTGCTTCTTGTGTGCGCCAAAATCGACAGGTGGAGAATGCGGTTAAGCTATTGGTGGGCGGTCTTGTGAAGCCGTCGAGGACTGCAATTTGATTCGTTCTTCCCACTTTTCGCACACAAAGCAGAAAGTAGAGGGATTCCCGCCACGCCTTTGAATGGGTGCGAGTCACACGACAGAGAGAGAGAGAGAGAGAGAGAGAGAGCGTTGTCGAGTATCACAACAGAACGAGGGCAAAAGGGCGAACAAACCGATACAATAGAGCTCTTCACAGTACATACACGTAATAATTCGGAATGTGCCCAGACTTGATTCGGAATAGCCGCCACTCTGATGACAGGTTGACTGATAAGCGTGCCCACTTTGACCAATGATAACAAGCTCCAACGGGAATCGACCTTGTCAGAGCGGCAACCGATTAGCACCGAGATGAGCCTTGACAGAGGTATGCGGTGTGGCGTTGTAAGGTCAACCTGACCCACTTGGAAGAGCCGAGAAAGAGGCTTTGCGTAGGTTCGCGTGATTCGACATTTTTTCGAGTCGAGCTGTCGAACTGCAATTTTGAATTCACCACCAAAAAGAGAAAATTTGGTTTTCTTGACAAAACTTTCGGAAGCAGTTGTGGATTTGTAATTCAGCAGGGTCGCAACACCCGATCCCTCCGCTGTGTTGACTCTCTAGTGTAATATGACGGCCCGATCGCTCACGATGACAATGTACAACATATTAGAGTTATGCGAGATCCGAGCCAAAGTCGAGTTTGAGAGTGGTGTCAACTTTGTTATCTTTAGTGATGTATTTTGGAAAGCGGCGAAAGGGCCGTACGCGAACATGCAAAACTTGACACAACAACGCATCAAGCGGAAAATTGATGCCGCAGGTTCAACCAACCAGAGGTTTGCAAAAAGTTAAAACAGAAAAAAAATTCACCGAAGCTTGCCCATCCCGACCGCAACAGCCGAAACAAGCGTGGATCAGCGCGACATTGGTATGACTCCAAATTCTTTTTGGATCAAGCTTTTTTTCTTTTCTTTTTTCAATTTTTCGGGATCGACACGATGCTCTCTGCGCAGTTTCGAATTTCAGGTCTTGTTCCAGAGCACGCTCCACAGACACGGTCAACAAGATGATCCGCGGCCGTCTGCTTCGAGTCTTCCGCCATCTCTGCCTTGTGTCCCTCGTTGCTTTCCCGTGCTCGTCGCCGACTCTGGCTCTTCAACGCCCGAAGATTTCAGGAACGCTGAGCCGGAATTCTCGGCAGCTCATGCATGCATCGTTATACCATTGCAGTCGTACCTCATACCAGGCCACCTTGTGCAGGGGAACCAGTGTTGCATCGCAACGTGGAGAGGGACCACGCCAAGGCCAAGGGGCCATGATGTGTGTTTGTGTGTGTGTGTGTGTGTGTAGGTGTGTGTCAGTGTGTCAGTGTGTCATCATTACATAATCAATTATCTGCCCTCCACTTTCCGGACCCTGCAGCTACGGTGTCGGACTCAGCCGCTCGTGATGATCCATGCCTACCTTTGTGCTTCCACCACCTTTTGGAATGGTCCATCGAGCGCAGCTACCCTTTGTTGGCGCTCTCACTGCCTCAAAATGGCTGGCTACCAAAAGGACAAGTCTTCCAAGCCAAATACGAGACTTCGTGCCTTTGGCGACTCGGACGACGACGACGACGATGACAATGCCCACCATCCCTTGACATCCAGCCGACACCAAGAGATCGTCTCTTTTGGTCGTGATGGAGCTCAAGAACGAAAGGCAGCACCCGCACCTGCTGCGCCACGAGTTATCCCTGTCGCTTCCAACCTCGACTGGCGACAAGACCGAAAGCAACGTCTCGGCATGGCTTCCAACCTTCAGTCGCTCGGTCCTCTGGTCTCGATGCGTCGCGCGGATTCCTCAGCTGTACCAGGCTCCAACCCCTCCTCCTCTACCGTGAACGGCGACTCCAATGCGGATGCAATCAACACAGAAGCTCAGAAAAGCGGGCTCGAATTGCGAAAGTCAAAGCCGCACAAAGATGACTCGGCCGAAGGCAGCCCAAAAGATGATGCACAGGCCCAGGGTTCAGCCGTGCCAGCTGCACCGGTCACAGCTACAGAAGAAGCAGGAACCGATCAAGAAGCACTCAAAGCCCTGTTGGCAGGCGAAGGGGCTGGGAGTAGCTACACAGGCGAGCCTTTGGTCATCCACCAGGAATCCGAAACCGAAGTGCTTCAACACGACATTGACACCAGGCCTGATGCGCCTACCCTCGACGACTATGCAGCCACCCCCATCGACCAGTTCGGCATGGCTCTGCTTCGAGGTATGGGCTGGAAGGAAGGTATGGGCGCAGGGAAAGGCGGAAAGGGTCCTCAGCAGGCCGCCGAACCCAAAAAGCGCGCAGCGCTCCTCGGTCTCGGCGCCAAGGAACGACCTAGCGGACCTTCGGGCTTGCCTTCATCTTCCTCACGTAGCTACCGATCCAAGGACAAGCGCGACTACAGATATGTGCCCGTTGCCAAAGGCGAGAGTCGGTCTGCCTCGAATGGGCGGTCAGATGCATCCGATCAACATCCACGAGACGACCGCCATTCCGAGGACCGGCCCAAAGACAAAGGCTCGTTCCGCGACGACCACAAA